TCGTCTAATGGCTAACTCCATGAGCCGAAGACCCCGTTTGGCGTTTCCCAGAATGAAGAGCAAACAGATCCAAAAGGCCAGAATCACGAAAATGGAGTAAATTCTGGGCGGTTCTATCAAATCAAATCTATTCCTCTTGGAATCGCTTTTCATCATTTGAATGCTTCGCTTAAGACAATCGGCGAGTCCTTCGCTGTCCGAACAGTCGGGCCCTTCATTTGGTTCGCATTTATTGGTTTTGTATTTATCGTAATGAAAGCCAGGCTTACATTTGCACACATTCTTCACGCACTCCAACGCCGAGTCTCCGCAGCCATCGGCTGTTGTGCAGCTCTGGTCGTAATAGAGTTGCGATTTGCATGAGTCTGAATGGGAATCGTAATAATAGCCATCTCTGCACTGACACGTCTGGTATTGACCGCATATACTGTTAAAGAATTTGCTGTAACAGTCCCGACCCGTCACACATCGCGACCCGATTATGACTTTGCGGATACAGGCCTTTAAGTCCTCGTTGTACTCGTAATTATTATTGTAATCGCAGCCACATTTACCCGGATCTTTGAAACCAAACCTATACCATAACATTATCCAGAATTCGTCTTTGAATTCAGTATCCAAACCAAAACATCCGGCGTTTGGGATGTGATTGCATTCAACGGATCCCATACAAGACTGGTTGATGGCTTTGTGTTGAAGACATATACCATTTAATAGTTTAATGGGATATTCTGGACCACATTTACAGATTTGGCTCTTTTTGTCACATTCCTGAGTATCTGAGTTACGGCACCCGACGGTCGGGTATTTCTGGAAATCACATTTGACTAATTTGTCTCCTTTTGTATAACAAAAACAATAGATAACGAGAATTAAAGATAACGTTTGAATTAAATTAAGACTTTGGCTGTAATTTGAGTTAAGATTCATATCTTAATTGAAAATTCTTCAAAATTTCCGATAATAATCACAAATCGATTGACAATTAATGAGAGAAACCATTGAAAGACTGAACACAACATTATATGATTCCGATTCTCATAGCCTTATACGAGAGGAATANAATGAGAGAAACCATTGAAAGACTGAACACAACATTATATGATTCCGATTCTCATAGCCTTATACGAGAGGAATAGCGCTTAATATTGGATAAGTTTGTAAACATTTCATTGATTTTCTTCTCAAAATTCAGTGTTGAGATGAAAAATAGTTTTCTTTGATATAATATTTACATTAAGTATTATTTTTGAAAAATTATGAAATGAAAAAGTAATTAACATTTAAATATTTATCACAAATGTAACAAAAATCTGTTATTAGTTTCTTGTTTAATAACATTGCAGTAGAGATGCGCTAAAATTAGCTCAAAATAAATGACATGATATTCAATTCAATATAACGATACGATTCTCTCAATTACTTAATCAGTAAAAAGAAATAAATGAAATGAAAGACAATATATTTGATTGCATTGATTTTGATTGTGTTTTATTGTCTCAATACTGAATAATTGGTCATTAAAACAATGAGCCGCACATTTATGTGCATTTGTTTGGCTGTGATTATCGGCACAATTGTATTGGATATGTATTTAGAAGTTACAGATCATGGGATCAACTAAAACGGATCGCAAATCTAAGGCCATTGACACTCAAATCATCGGCAAAATCAATATTTATATCAATTTTGGTCTAACTTTTGCAATCAATGCATACTTTTAACAAAAGCAAACTTTTCACTTATTCTTCAAAGAATATTCTTTTACACAAACTTTTTAATACATAAAATATGGCATTAAATGTGCGAATAGTTAAATGTACTAAAAATAGGTAATTAAAATTATTAAATATAATTTTATCGCAGGTGGTATTATACTAAATATGCGGTGTATTACTTATTTATCATTATATGGTATTTATTAGATATTTAACCTTCATTTTATTTTAATAACATGTGTATAAAGGTAATATAATATTCTATTCCATAATTAAATACTGTGAAAGTGACCTAGATGCTGTATACACTTTCAAGCTGAACAAACTTAATAAAATTGAGGTAATAGTAACTTTAGATTATGTTAACGTGGAGTACAATTTGTATAATGCGGTCCATTTAAATGACTAATAGTTTATGTGGTGTTTAGACAAAGGGTTTAATCTATAAATTAAAGTTTGTTGAGAAAATACAATTATAAATGACAGGTATATTTGTGAACACGTGATCAGTTTATGCGCGCATTAATGCACATCGATATCGATTGTAAATCAATCGTTTGCGTCCAAAACCAGACACAGATTGTGACGAAATGAAAACAACGGACCACTGATTGGCTGCGAGTGTGAGTCACGTGTGATATGACGACAACCAACGCGTGTAACGACTCAAACATTGTTTGTATTAAACAGTGACGATATCCAAAGACATCGCCATTTGATCCACTATTTGCCACATATATTGTCAACCCTTGTCTGTCACCCATTGGATCAGTTATACGCCCATTTGGTCCCACTTTTGCCCATCATTTGGACCTCTGGTATGTTTTTAGTGCCTTTTATTTCCATATAATTATCACTTGTTTTTGTGTTAAAAGTTTTTGTTTGGTTTTTGAATTTTCAATGACTTTGTATTGTTTTGAATGATTGAAAATTTGGTAAAATTTGAATCATTTTATATTTGCGTTTGAAATGTATAGTGAATTGTGGTTTAATTAATGAACTCGTGTTTTACTATTTAGTTATTATAGTTGAAAATGTGTTGGAAGTGATTGTTTGCATTGATATTGCAGTGACTGATCGGAAATGAAGTACAATATAGTTATAAAGGATTGTCGACCGAATCTACCGATCAATGCCAAAAAGTCGTACAGATTTGGCCAGATTTCGGACAATTGGAGAGATATTTACGCCTTTTTCATCAAGAAGTTTGGGAACCAAGACTTTGTCATATGTCTCAACAACGACAACAATACGCCCATCGATGACCTCAACTACAGTGAAGTGGTCACCGATGGTATGGAATTCATTATCAAAGGAGCCCCGTATGACATTCATGGTTATTATTTGTATTGTTTTGTAATCATTTACATTTATATGAAATGAAGTGCTGCCGCGCCCGGCATTATCAACCACGAGGTGAATTTCACGCCACATTATCACACGCTTACACAGTCGGGAATGTATGAGTACTACTCCTCCCGAGGCATCGATTCGGTGGTGATAGCGATGGCAGAGCTCATCGACAACTCGCTGTCGGCCGTGAAGGACAACAAAGGCCTTCGACTCATTGANCGATGGCAGAGCTCATCGACAACTCGCTGTCGGCCGTGAAGGACAACAAAGGCCTTCGACTCATTGAGATCCGTCACTACGACAACGGCTCGGACTCTATGGTCGTTATTATCGACAACGGGTGCGGAATGAGTCGACACGACCTCACGAATTGGGCTAAATTCAAGTTCTCTAAGTTTGTTCGTCAAAGTGAGTCCACAGACGCCGAGGCTATGAACACATCGCTTGATTCGGGTGTCTTCTCGTCGGCGGATCTGCCCCTAAGTCAACACCAAAGTCCATACAAAGGTCTGCCGGCGGACAAACAGAAGCCCCGGTTTCTGGACAGCGATATAAACTTCTTCGGCGCGGGAGGCAAACAGGCCATCTTCAACATAGGACAGGCCACTACTATGATTTCGAAGACTGCGTCCAGCAATTCCATCTGCGAACTGACGCTCTCTGTGTCCCGATTTGATGAGAAGTCAAAGACCAATCCCGACGCCGTATTTAAGGAACAGTTGTCTGAGAGGCCAAAAGGCTTGACAAGACCTCTGCCAGAGAACTCGAAAACCTCCGATTACATCGAAAATTCCATCATTAAAGAGATCGAAAACGAGTGGAACAGTTTCACCATTTGTTGCATTAAAGAAGTCTTTGATAAACACTCGAAACAATTTAAGAAAAATAAAGAGCACAACAATTATTGGATGAAAGGTTTGGCCCGAATCTATCACTACTACCTTCACGGCCCGAAAGGCAATACTGGGGTCAAAGAGTCGGTTCCCAACGATTGGAAACGCATTGATATTATGATTAAGGGATTTTCGGTGCACAAAACGGGAGACACAGTGCAGACGCATCTCATGCACAACACACAGTTGAAGAGCATTGACGACGACTTTGAGTCACAATTAGTTCGTTCGGCGAAAGACACGTTTGAGTTCGAAGTCGAACACTACGACAAGAAGGATGCCATCATTGAGGGTATCATTCGTTACCATCCCTACCAACACGACAAGGAAACGCTTCCAGTGCTCGACATTAATGATGACTTGGGCGGCACCGCTTCCATTGTCACATCTGATCTGTGCGATGAAGACATTGATGGTTACGGTCAGAAACCGCGTGGTAAATGGCGTGAAGTGTTTGAGTGCTTCTGGCACGGGAGGCTCATTCCTCAGGACGGCATCGACTTTGAGTGGAATAAATTCAATCCAAAGTCAAGTCATGTCGACAAAGATATGGAAGAATCGTATTACCGCCTGTCGGGCGCTCTGTTCACGAACTCTCACTATCAGGTCTCGCAAAACAAGCAAAGTTTTATGGATTTGAGTCAATTGATGTCAAAAAAAGACTGCCTCACCTTCTTTAAGGTCGAGAATGGACGTCGAGTTCGCGGCACTTTCGAGACACTCTTTATGTCTTGGCTTAAGAATTGTCACCTTAAGTATGATAAACAGGTCCAGTATTTTGATTATCAATGTAAGTGTACGACCGACGATTGTTTCTATTCATGAAATACATGCCTTCGGTTTACTTTAACAGATGATATTCCACGCACTGAAGTGTCGACACTTAGAAAGTCGACTACAGGCGCGACATTCTCTGTATTTCATCGGATCGTATGGAAGGACAAGGAGTGGAAAAAGAGCGACCAAATTCTGACCAGAAAGACAAAGCCGGCCAATATTGTGGGAGTCATCACCAAATTCCTGGTTCCCGTCAAATGCAGCGGCGATTATATCGGAAGTCCGGGTTTTGTCGAAATCTATCAAATCCCAGACCTGATCTATGGCAAGGAATCGGACGCATCCAAAATAATTAGCTTTAAACAAATCAACGCCGACACCACGCCTGAAGAGATAACGACCGAATATAACAAACTTTTTCATCGATTGCCGCACAAAATGGAAATCGGTTTTCCCAACGACTTTGCCGTACATCCGGGCGATGCTATCGTCGCCGGAAGACCTATCGGTGACATTCAGATCAAACTCATTAACGCTAACGGAGATTATCTGACGACCGATCGGATACCACAAAAGGCAACGACCAAGAAGTTGCAAATTCAGGCCGATATACTCAGAATTGAGGGTTTGTTTTGTGTGACATTTTTTACTCATTGTTTTTAATAATTGTTTTATAATTATGATGTGTAGGAACGGAAACATCGGTGGAGTTATCGTACCCCGAATTCGCAGAATTCACCAAGAACTGGCACTATTGGTTCACTCAAAGCGGTTAGTAATGATGACTATATTATTGTTGTTGTCAATTATGGCTAAATGTTTAAACAAATTGATAACTTATTAATTATTAACTATTAAATGTATAGATGGTCTCCAAAAGACGGGTAAATTTCGATTAGTGTTTGCGTGTGTAAGCGATGCTAAAAAGGAGAACGTGCATGGCAAGTTTGCCAATGGTGAATCGTATCCTTATGATGAAAGCATTGAGTTCACAGTCATCGCCGGCCCACCCATTGATTTCAAAGTGAACGAAACTGCTATTAAGACAATGATTGGAAAGCCATTTGATTTGTCGCTCACACTATACGACAAGTGTGACAATGTGGTCACTCCTCACATCAATGCCCACATTCCTATTCTTAGTATTCGGTATAATCTAATTTCATTTCCTCTGTTTTTAACATTCATCTAATTTTATATTTTGTTACCACTTATAGTGGATTTGTAGTGAAATTTGAGAAACTTGTGGTAGCCGATGATGAGCTTGTCATTAAAAATATTGTCATTTCGGGAAAACTTACACAAAACGTAAGATTTATCGATCGATTGTAATAAAATGATTGCATTAATAATGATTTGTTATTAGCAAAAGAAACCTATTTTGGACATAAGTTTGCCATCATTTGATCTGCCCGTCAAAATAGAGGTTGATTTGGAATATGGAAATCCATCCGAAATATGTTTGCTCTCCGACGGGAATATTGCGGTCATTAATGGAACGACACTTGAATTGGGAGTTGTATTGAAGGACTCGGGAGGAAATGACGTGACTTTTGTAAAACATTGTGTCGTTTACGCCAAAGTGTTTGAAAAGAAAGAGAGCACTAAAACTGGAGTCACTTCTGAGTTCACATTAATACCCAAACCAGACGAAGAGCCCAATTGTTTGGCAATCAATCATAAAATTGAAATCAAAGGTATTTACAATTTAATCGAAAGTTTATATGAATTGTAATTCAGTTATTATTTGCTCAAAGCGGGGACCGTTGACTTCAGTTTAAGACAATTTGTACTTCGGTTTTATCTCAAATCCAATCCAAACGTATTTCTCGAGAAGGATATTGTGTTTAAGAAGAACTCCAAACCGACGTTTATTCGCCTGTATTTCACCAATAGGTTGGAAGAGGGGTCCNAATGTATAGATGGTCTCCAAAAGACCGGCAAATTTCGATTAGTGTTTGCGTGTGTAAGCGATGCTAAAAAGGAGACCGTGCATGGCAAGTTTGCCAATGGTGACTCATATCCTAAGGATGAAAGCATCGAGTTCACTGTCATCGCCGGCCCACCCATTGATTTCAAAGTGAACGAAACTACTGTTAAGACAATGATTGGAAAGCCTTTTGATTTGTCGCTCACACTATACGACAAGTGTGACAATGTGGTCACTCCTCACATCAATGCCCACATTCCTATTCTTAGCATTCGGTATAATCTAATTTCATTTCCTCTGTTTTTAAAATGTATCTAATTTTATATTTTGTTACCACTTATAGTGGATTTGTAGTGAAATTTGAGAAACTGGTGGTAGCCGATGATGAGCTTGTCATTAAAAATATTGTCATTTCGGGAAAACTTACACAAAACGTAAGATTTATCGATCGATTGTAATAAAATGATTGCATTAATAATGATTTGTTATTAGCAAAAGAAACCTATTTTGGACATAAGTTTGCCATCATTTGAACTGCCCGTCCAAATAGAGATTGATTTGCAATTTGGAAATCCATCGGAAATATGTTTGCTCTCCGACGGGAATATTGCGGTAATAAATGGAACGACACTTGAATTGGGAGTTGTATTGAAGGACTCGGGAGGAAATGACGTGACTTTTGTGAAACATTGTGTCGTTTACGCCAAAGTGTTTGAAAAGAAAGAGAGCACTAAAACTGCAGTCACTTCTGAGTTCACATTAATTCCCAAACCAGACGAAGAGCCCAATTGTTTGGCAATCAATCATAAAATTGAAATCAAAGGTATTTACAATTTAATCGAAAGTTTATATGAATTGTAATTCAGTTATTATTTGCTCAAAGCGGGAACCGTTGACTTCAGTTTAAGACAATTTGTACTTCGGTTTTATCTCAAATCCAATCCAAACGTATTTCTCGAGAAGGATATTGTGTTTAAGAAGAACTCCAAACCGACGTTTATTCGCCTGTATTTCACCAATAGGTTGGAAGAGGGGTCCGAAGCCATTGAGATTCCGGTCGAGAGTTTGAGACAATTTCCGGCCGGTTCTACACTAGTATGTCATTTCATTAAAATTTTATACAATTTACCATTTTTTCGGACGTCCGCACAGAATATCAACCTAGTTGAGTGCGCCACGTCTTTAAATAACAATAAATACAAATACAAATACAAATACAACTGTGAATTCAATGTTTGACAGCATTTATCTCAAGTGGTAATTGATTTATTACTCAATGATTTAGTCTGGCGTTCACTTCAAAGCGTTTGGATGCGATGAAAGTGAAATCGATTTGCATGACTACGAACACCAAACACTCAGTATATCACTGGAAGAGAAGCCGGCGGTCATCAGACCCGATGGAATGCTTCCCAACATTTGGGTCCATACGGACGCCTCCGAGAAGAGGGTCTATAAGTTGACGTGGAAACAGGCGAAGAAAGACATTGACATCGAGTTCTTCTTCCTATTGCAACCGTACGCCGATTCACCGCAACGAATGGAAATCAAGGCCGACAGCCATCCAAAGGTGTTTCCAATCGGACAAACCGTTTCCAATGCGCTGCACATCAAAGTTCTGGACGCCTATAATAATCCGATTCGATCTAAAGATATTATGGATCGACTCGTTATTAAACCCGTTTCTCAGCTCATAGTTCTCGATGAAAGATGTCTGAAAAAGGCTTTCGCCAGAACCGACAATACGAGCGCAGAGGGGCATCAGATTGAGCCCAGAGTTTCGTTCGTTATCTCCAATATAAGACTATTGCCGAACACAACGATTACATCTAACGAATCACGTATTGGTGCTCATAAACTGTCGTTTGCCATCAGACATATAGATGATATGATTCAAGAGCTCGACATTGATGTAGTGAACGGAACGCCGCATTCACTCGTATGGGTCGAGTCACGAGATAACAGGAGTTGTTTGTCTCTAACAAATAATAAACGCTTTCGATTCGAAGTACAAGTTTTGGATGAGTTTAAGAATCCAGTGGTGAACACAAAACTGGAGATTAAGTTGACGTTAGTGTCGAGTATTAATCAAATGGAATTCACAGCGGAGACCGATTCGGACGGTGTGGCCGTGTTTTCTCGTGTATTGAATTACAAACCCGACGCTGTTGTACAACAATGTCAACCACCGGCAGGAGTGGCGCCCATTCCCTCGGCATCCCATTCGCAGTGCTTTGGATTTACGCGTGCCTTCGCCACCGCTAAACACATCCGAAAGGCTCTGCGTTCTGAAGACCAATGGATTCACGTTAGCAGTGATAATAAGAATACCACAAAAAGTCCGCACAAACACGGAGACGAGTATTACGATAAGACTCAGAACAAAATTTTAAAGAGTTTGCGAGATTTGGGAGAAAACTTGACCGGTTTGGACGATGAAATCAATATTGACCAGAGATTAGATGTCTGTAAGAAGTCATTAACTGCATTGAGAGCACGAGATGCGAGTCGAACGGTCCGTGGAGTCGATGTGCCGAAGGCTCCCAATAGAAACGGAGTGATCGGACGGATCGCACACTTGGCGTACGTCGACGACAATGATTTGGCCAAAAGTATTTCGTGGTTTCTCCGCGATTTCATGTCTTGTATCGTCACTAAGACTACAGAATCGGCGCAAAGACTTTGCAACACTTCGGTTGAAGTTCAACAGACGCTTTCATTGGATTGTATTCAAAAACCATTGACAGTACTTCCAGCGTATTTAAAAGCAGCTAAAGATTATCTCAAATATAACGAAAAGTCTGATAATTTGAATAAAGTATTTGATGCCCTTTTGGGAGACACTATAATCATGGAAGACTTTGAGAAAGCAAAGATATATAGACATCAAGTCATCCTTAGAAGCGCGAGGTGTCCGACAATCATAACTAAAACTGGAATCCTATACGAGTCGGGAATCATTGATAGGCAGACAACTGCGGGCGATATCGTTATGTTTCAGTCGCCACCGGATCCAGAGTTGATAAAAACTGGGAAAATCGTACGACTTTTGCAACGATTAGTCGCTAATCTCCACAGGAATTTTGAAGGGTCCATGGCTTCAGAAGAGTCGGGTTCTGAGACAGACTCCGGTCCGCCGGCGCCCAAAAGGCAAAGGACTTAACGAAGCGTTTTCATGACAACATTAATTCATCGCTATTATTAATATTTACAATTTATATACATTTAACTCATATTTTGTATTAGTTTATGATTTTAAACGACACAAAAATTATATTTAGTGATTCATTGATTGATTCAAATTATGTAATACTATATGAAATAAATTACATATTTTCAAAGATTAATTGATTTGTAGTTTTGTAAACTTGTTTGCATTAAATGTACGTTAAATTGTAATGAATATAAGGTTGTATTTGATGGACACAACCATTTGAATGCATGACTCAATCGTTTGCAGTGAACGTCAACTTAAGCCAAACGATAGGCTCTGATATTGCAAACGATTGTCTCATCACTTCATTCACTCATTCAAT